GTGAAATAAGTCAGAGGGAGAAGGTCAAATACCGTATGATTTCCTTCATTAAGTAGTAGATAATAACAACAATAAACAAACACATAGGGGAAAAAAAAAAAAAGAATTCTTTGTGTATTTTAGATATAAGATCTTTATCAGATATGTGTTTTGCAAAGATTTTCTCCCAGGCTGTGGCTTGTCTTTTCATTCTTTAAAGTGTCGTTCACAGAGCAGAAGTTTTTAATTTTAATGATGTCCAACTTACCAATTTTTTCTTTCATGGATCATGCTTTTGGTGTTGTATCTAAAAACTCATTGCCAAACCCAAGGTGACTTAGATTTTTTTCCTATGTTTTCTTGTGGAAGTTTCATAGTTTTGCCTTTTACATTTAGATGTAAGGTCCATTTTGAGTTAATTTTTTGAAAGATGTAAGGATAGCATCTTGATTCATTTTTTTGCATGTGGATGTCCAGTTGGTCTGCTCCATTACTTGAAAAGACTATCCTGTCTCTGTTGAATTGTCTCTGCTCCTTTGTCAAAGTTCAGTTGACTATATTTGTATGGGTCTATTTCTGGGCTCTCTAATCTGTTCCATTGATCTGTTTGTCTATTCTTTCACCAATACCACACTGTCATGATTGCTGTGGCTGCTGTTTAATTTCTGTTTTGTCACTTTGTGCTTCTAAAAAAGGATTTGAGATAGACTGCAATTTTAGTTACACTGGAAACAGGATAATTTTAATAAAAAGATGAAAATTGTAGGGGCCGGCCCAGTGGCACAAGCCGTTAAGTGCGTGCGTTCTGCTGCAGTGGCCCGGGGTTTGCAGGTTCGGATCCCGGGCGCGCACTGACGCACCGCTTGTCAAGCCGTGCTGTGGTGGTGTCCCATATAAAGTAGAGGAAGATGGGCACGGATGTTAGCCCAGGGCCAATCTTTCTCAGCAAAAAGAGGAGGATTGGCATTGGATGTTAGCTCAGGGCTGGTCTTCCTCACAAAAAAAAAAAAAAAAGATGAAAATTGTAAAAAAGTTAAATATTGATTCTTCTGGCTGTGGCTCCATTCTTTAAAAAACAAGAACACACAGAAATATTACAATAGAGTATGGACAGGCCTGAGGATGTTTTACCTGCTGTCATTTATCTGACAACATTGAAAATTATAGTTTAGACAGAAAAATTCTGAGGTTGGGTTATTCTTAAATATTATTGTTTTCCTTTGAGTTTGTGGTGATTAATTATTTAGTTAGTATTGCATAGTTAGCTACATACAGTTCATTGGAGACACATATTAATACTTTAGCTGTTTTAAGAATTGAATCAGCAACAGATGTTTGTTGAAATGTGTATATATGCAAGTCTGACCACTTTTCTGGGATTTTTTTTTTTTAGGTCAATGATGCCTTCCTTCATGTGACACAGCGCAAATCCTCGGGCAAGGTGCTTATCTCTCTTAAATAAATCCTCACCTCAGCAGTAAACTCAGCATGTCCAAATCCAAACTCATCATCTTTCCAAAAAACCTGATGTCCCTCCTGTGTTTCTAAAGGTGTTACTACCTTCCTTATTAATCCAGCTTCAAAATCTTTCAGAGTCACCTTTGATTCTGTTTTTTTATTTCTCATAATTAGTGTGATTATATACTTTATTGTGCAAACTTCAACCTGTTTGAAAGAGAAAGGATGCTATTAGTAATTACGCTAGGAAAACAGGTGTCCCAGCCAAATCAGGGTGTATGGTCGCCCCATTCATAATGCATCAATGGCCAGGTTCTGTCATCACCACATCTAGGAAATCTCTCACCTCCATATCCTCTTTTCCGTTCTTACTAGTTATGTCTCGTCTGCTAATTCCAGTGACCACCTAACTGGCTTTCCTACCTTTGAACTACCCCCATCCCTTCCATCCTTGTTATACATTATTGCCATGGTACCTTCCCAAAGCACAGCTATGACTATATCTCATCTCAGAAAACCTACAATGGCTCACCACTGTCTACGTGGTGGAGTTCAGACTCCTTGAGCAAGCATTTCATTTTGACCGTGATTTTGCCCCTCTCTGCTTTCCAGCCTTATGCCCCACAACTCCTCCAGTCCCTGAGTACTCACTTTGATTTCCTGCCTCCCCCTGCTTGCTCTGCTCAAGCAGTTTCCTCTACTCCCTTATCTCTGTCAAACATAAGCCTTCCTGACCTCCAAGACCTACCTCTGCCATGGCCGTTCCCCTTAGGAGGGTGCTCATCTTCTACCTTCCTGTGGATTCTCTCCCACGATTTGTCAAATTCTGCCTTGCACCAAAGGAAGCAGCATGTCTAGTGGAATAAACACAGGATTCTGAATCCAAGATGTGGGTTTGAATCCCAGTCTCGCCCCTTTGGAGGTGGTTACTTAAGGTCTCCGAGCCTTCCTTTTCTCACTGTAAAGTGGATATTACAACATCTACCTCACAAAGTTGTTGTGAGCAATACACATAGTGATTGAGCAAACACCTGGCATATGCTAAGTGATTAGCAAATGCTAGTTACTTTCACTTCTTTCTCTCCTCCTTTATCACGGTAGCGTAAGTTCCTGGAGAGTAGGTACCGTGTCTGACTTGCCTTTGTACCTCCCACAATACTAGCACAGTGAGTTACCTGTGGTCAATACTCAATAAATTGAATTGAATTTGAATTATCTTAAATTGTGGGGAAAAATGTATGTCCATAGACATACAATGGAATATTATTCAGCCTTAAAAAGGAAGGACATTTTGACACATGCTACAACATGGATGAACTTTGAAGACGTTACGCTAAGTGAAATAAGCTAGTCACAAAAGAACAAATATTTATGATGCCACTGACATTAAGTACCTAGAGTAGTCAAATTCACTGAGACAGAAAGTAAAATGGTGGTTGCTAGTAGCTGGGGAGAGGAGGAAATGGGGAGTTATTGTTTAAAGGCTACAGACAGAGTTTCAGTTTGGGAAGATGGAAACATTCTGGAGATGGATGGTGGTGATGGTTGCACAATAATGTGGATGTACTTAATGTCACTGAACTGTACACTTAAAAATGGGGAAAATGGTAAAGTTTATGTTATGTATATTTTACTACACTAAAAAATGTTAAAAAAATAAAAGAATATATTGCCCTCACATCCAAGTGAATGTATTGAGAGAAGAGAACAGAGGGTGTGAGTAGAGTGCCTGGCTTAGGCCAAAGGAAGCTCCAGTCCCTGCCCGAGTCCTGGTCTGTGGGGAGAGGTCCTGTACCTTTGCTGGGTGCTAAACACTCTCTACTCCTCCTACTGCATGAGTGATAATTCCTGAAAAGGGTGGGTGGAGATGAAAACAGGCACCTGGTACCATGAAGGTGGGGCTACTTCTTATTCTGGTGAGGTCCTGTTCTAATAAATGGGATAAGAGGCTTTGTTTGCTGATAAGTACCTCATGCTGTTTGAAAACACCTTTCTTCTCAGGGTTTTCTCACCAAAAGAGCTTTTGGAAGAATTGAATTGTAAAATATCGAGTGAACATTTGGGGAAAGAATTTGAAACTGAGAAATTAGCAGAAGGAAGGGGGAGGGGAAAGACGGCAGGGAAACCACCCACGTGTCTGCTGTGGGCCCACGTGGTGCTTCCATGAGGGACAGAGCACATGCTGTGCCTCTTCCTGCCCCATTGCCGTGCCTCTTCCTGCCCCGTTGCAGCATTTTAGCCTTCTGGGGGCTGCGTGCCTTGTGGTTCTATTTAATGATAGGCCTCTCTTCACCTGCCTTTCCCCAAAGTGACTTCTTAATGTGAGCTATTTTTGTGTTTAAATGAAAGTTCGTTTTCAAAAATATCAAGACACCAACGTTGAGGCTAATTTTAGAATTTCCTGACACCCTTTGGGATAATTGAAGACATGCTGGATAGACCCCGGGAGAGAAGTCAGGATTGGGAAAAGTGCACAAGCCCAGCTGGGAGCTACCTTTCCCACTGTTCTGAGCTGATCAGTAGGTGTCACTAGTAATAAAGATCAATTGTCCCCAGCTCACTAACGTCAAAGGGACTTAAAATGAAAGAGGCAGTCATTAAGGAGAGCGAGTTTCTTCAGGTTTAACAAGTATTGGTTAGAACGCCTAATGACCTCCTCTCTGCTGGCCTGTGTTCCAGCTTCACGGGAATGATTTGATTTGAAAGCATTTGACTCATTTTAGTCATTGTTTGGTTGTTCCACCATCTGAGCCATTAGTTAGGCTGAAAAAAGAATCAATGCCACTCCAAGTGACAGCGTTATTCTATATTCACAGACTTCTCCCAGCTCTCCCTTGCAGGTTGGCTGCTGGAGAAATCACTCCCACGCACCTACCTCTTCTTTTTTGGTGACTGTGGGTCTGTCCACCTGCACACACTTCTCTCAACAGCCGAAGTGAGGTTTTGTGCTATTAGCTGTGGAATAATCCTGTCTACACATCACCAGTATATTTGCCCCTGCTCCTTCCTCTGCAATCTATATAGCTTTAGAAAGCTATCTTTTCTATTGGAGCTATGGTAAAGACAACAAAAGATTTGTTATTTGGCAAGTGAGGGAAAATAAAGGTGTCTTCACGTAATCACTTTTATTTAACCAAAAAACTCTAAGAAACATTCACGCTATTATTTCTTTCTCTTATTTTTCCTTCTAAGGTTGTACACGTGATTCAAAATGCAGTGGTTCTTCAAAATTTTTATTGTTTATAAAGTCGCGTGAGGGGAAGACCTAATTAAACAAACAAACACTAGCATGTCTGTTCTCTTCCATTTTGTTTCTTCATCACAGCTTCTTGGTAGATTGAAGATCTGAATTAGAAATATGCTGGTTTCTGGAACTTAATCATTGTTGAGGAATCATATACGAAGCGGTTATTTTAATGTTTTTTCTTTTTTGCTGTATTTAGAAACGGTCAGTTTCCTGAACTTTTGTGAATTGTCTCATTATTTTTAAAATGGTATTGTTAAAATAATTACAACAATACCACATGGTCATTGAAAAAAGTCAAACCAGCAAGAAGTTTATGAGTAGAAATTGTTATTCTATTTTCCTCTATCCTGTCTCATTCCCATTCTCCAGGAAAACCACTGTAAACAGTGTGGTGTTAGTCTTGCAGACCTTTTAAAACACATACACACAGGTTTTTGTTTTTTTTTAATAAAGACATGCATAGGTTTTAAAAATAACTGATCATAGTAACTGAACATGCTGTTCTATAATGTGCTGTTTTTAATCAATAATACGCCATGGACATCATTCCATATTAGTAAATATGGACTTATTCTTTGTGACAGCTGCTTAGTATTCCATAATGAGGACATATATCATATACAACCATTTCCTTATTAGTGGGCTTATTCATTTATTTAACAAACATTTGTTGATTTGCCTCTATGTGCCAAGCTCAGCACAGCACAGGGAATACAATGGTGAGCAAAACTTTCCAAATCTAGTGGGGGAGACAGACACTTGCTAAATTCACAAAACCGTGCCAAACCAGTGCTGTGTAAAGTATAATGGGGGAATTTAACTCACGAAGGTCAAAAAGGTTTCCCTGAGGAAAGACCCTTGAACCTCTCTCTGAAGATGGAGGCTTCTAGGAATTAAATTCTAGGAATTTAAATAGGCAGGGAAGAAAGGGAAGAATATTCTAGGACCCTGTGGCTAATGAAAGCATGGCAAGTAAAAGGGGCTGAAAGCAGGCTGGTAGGGCTGGGGCTTGAGAGATGAAGGTGAGTGTTGTGAGATGAGGCTGGAAGTGGGGACAGATTGGGCAGGAGATTGTGGGCCAGTTTTGGGGGTTTTGCCTTTAAGCTAAGAGTAATGGGTTGCCATTGAAGTGTTCTAAGCAGGGGTGGGGCAGAGGCAGCAGAACCAGAATAATGTTCTGGAAGAATCCCTCCAGCTACAGGGGGGAGAAAGGATTGGAGAGAAATAAACCAATTAGGAGTCTATGAAAGTGCAAATGAGAGATGATGGCATCTTGGACTAAGGTGGTGATGATGGGGAAGGAGAGAAATGGACAGAATGGAGAGCTATGCAGGAGGTTACAGTGAAAGGACTTGGTGTTAGATTGGATATAGGGGTGGGTTGAGGAGGAGCAAGAAGGAAATGTCAAGAGGATTCCTAGGTTCCTGGATAGATATTTGAGAGGAGGAACATCGAAAGAGAATTGGATGTTGGCGGTGGAGGGGGATATGATGGAGGCAGAAGATGAAGTTTTGTACGTATTGAGACATCCAGGAGATGTCAAATATATAGTTTTATATACCTGTCTGGTGCTCAGAAGAGAGCATCTCTTGTATCTCTGTGACCTAGAGATACAAATTTGGGAGTCATTTGCATGGAGGTGTTATTGATGCCTGTGATGTGGCTGAGATTGCCCCTGGAGAGCATGTCGAGAGTGAAGAGGGTTTAGAGCAGCCTTAAACATCTTTTCTTTCAATAGAACTATAGAACATTTCATGCCTCTGCTGTGGACCACTGAAAGGGACTTAGAGAAGGGTAGTTTGGTGATTTAAAATAAATCACAAGTGGTTATAAGGAAGGCTGTATTGCACAGTGGATAAAGCAGCATTCTCTCCACGGAGGGCCAGCAACTGG